AATAGGCGAGATAGACACGCAGAAACTATGTCAAATTATTACTCGGACAGCCGATCTTACATGTTGAGGACAATATACGCTCGCGGGGATCGTATTTAGTACTAAGATTTAAGCGCAAGAACTTTTGTAGGAAGCCGTAATATTTACAAAAAATAGCACGAACATTAGAGTGCCTAAATACCGATGGTCCTCAAAATACACAGCTGTCAGTTCAATGGAAATGCCCATTGGGAGTTGCTTTTTACATTCCCACTGATAACACTAAGGTGAATTAACATGAAATTCTCGCGCAAAAGACGAAACGAGAAAGAATTTCGTGAACTTACGCTGGCAGTGCTGCTTACGAAATTGTTCAATGATTTTGGCTTTTTTCTTTTGATATCCTTTTTCCGTGATATCACCTAATTTAAGAGAAATGTGTTATGCCACGTAAAATTTAATCACCAAACAAGGATTGCATCATGTAATAGGACATTATGTAAAAGTTGTAATTATGATAGGTACGCAGTATCTCACTTGCAATGACTTGCAGGAATATAATCTAAAATGATTACCCAAATAAAAGGATGCCTTGACGACAATTCACTTTGTACGGCTTTCCGAGAAAAACTTTCACAGTATTTTGACTCCCTTTTTCAAGATTTGGAACAATTATATATGTCCGTTAGTCGAGCGACTACAGGTGGGCTATCGAACAATACAATACCACGTCGGAACAAGACTTGAATCTGACGGATAAAAATGAGCCACGTAAATGTGGTCTTGATTCAGTTTACACTCCCATAATCTGATTTACCCTCTAGCTCTAGTCATTTCTCTCCATTACAAACCCCATGAAGAAAACAAAACTTTACATCTTTTAAAAATGAACACAATGATTCAAAAAATTCATACTTATGAGAATTTCAAGAATATAAAATCTGTAATGGCAGTTGAATTAACAAAGCAGAAGGTAGCATTCTGCTTCATGCATAAAACTATGATTCTTAAATAGGAATCAGCTGCTTATAGTATGACTTTTAGACTCAGAGAAATAACGGATAAACAGAAATAATTAAAAATCTGCTCTAAACAAACCCTCAGCTAATTCGAGATCTAATTCGGCTAATTTTTTGCGTAAATCGGCGTCAAAACCAATGAGGTCCACTTCCCCCATCTTTCCAACAAAAAACCAGCCAAAATCCAGAGGTCATTTGTACATCGCGCGATAGTCTAGGGGTTTTAAGACAAAGTGTGACAATCGACAATGAACCAATGAATATACATATTTTATTAACAAAAATTAAAAAAAATTACCAATGCGTAATCTGTATAAAGATTCTATTGGTTGTATAATAATTATAAGTAAAATTACGTACCACCAATATTTGTTTTCCTTATATATGACAAAGAGGCCTTCAAAAATATAAATATAGACACGGAAAATAGCTGCATTTGCGAATCAGGTTATTCAGACAAAACTTATAAGAATGCATAACGCATAGAGTCAGGTTGCAAGAACGACGTAAACGCTTACTGAAGTCAAAACAAATGGAAAAAAATAACAAAGCATAAACAAAGCAGTAAATATAATGCACGCCTACAAACTCTCTTCCAGTTTTTGCAAAAAGTTTCGATCTCTGCATGCGTATATTGTCCTCAACATGTAAGATCGGCTGTCCGAGTAATAATTTGACATAGTTTCTGCGTGTCTATCTCGCCTATTAATATGTAACATGGAAATCCAGAAAGCATACAAAGGAGTAGGGTAAGTGCATGTCATTGTGTAGAATTACCAATCGGCAGATCGTTTGACACAATCGTATCGAAGAATATCAGCAAGTTCATGTTGGCAAACAATTACTTAACTGCCATGCCAATTTTTGTCAGCGAAACAATGGCGGAGTATAAACAATGCACGTCAGGTTATTTTGAAATCCGTGAGTTATTCGGCTGTATTTTGGCCGAAACTGGATCTTTAAGCCATGAATCAAGGTAGTGGTATAGGGCCTTCGTAGGAAAGTAGAAATCACGTCTATCTTCACTTTAGATGCTCGCGATTCCGGAGATTCACGACTTTCAACCCCTCACCTGCCACAAGTTGATATGGTCAGGCGTCTTGGTATGCCTTCTGAGCAAGATCACTCAGGGGGTCTCCCTGATTCCCCTTCTGTTGATCAAGCGACTCCCGCTATTGCGCGACGACCGTCGCATCATCGATACGCGCGTGATGAAGTTCGTTATAGATCCGGTACTCTAATCATTTTTGTTTTGATAGTGATTATATCGCCTTTTAATTTACTAGATATCTGTGGGTATAATCTTATTCCAAAACTATTCAAGACTCCTCATATTGTCCCATTAACACTCGGATTTCGATCTGTTATTGCTTTGTGTTTTTAGCAAATCACTTTTGTGCTTACATGGTTCAAAAATCATTTTGCTTTTCAACCTCAAGCATATCCCTTACCTACACCTGGACTTGTCAATTACATTCTTGGCAAATAGAAAGAGGGTGTTTTTGTAAAGTCCCTGTCTTGTATATATTGTGTTGAATTAGTGTGTTTTTTACTCCAGAACTAATCGCCGTCCATTTTGGCTGGTTTTACATAGATTAATACTGCTGCATACCGCGATGACTTCACTTGTGTTGTTTTCAAGGGCAAAATTAAAATACTCCAGTTTTTTATTTGTACAACAAATTTTGGCTGGTAAAAATGCTTTGTGTGTACTGGGGAAATTGCTGTCCATGCATGTCACTGTTTGGTGTGTGACTCATCCCGCCACGCAAAAACATATTCAAAGTACAAAGGGCTGCGCCAATCTGCATCCGATTTCAGCAGGGTATTCTGCACTTAATGGTTCTTCCCTTGTAGAAATTCGCGAAGAGGCTGTAAAAGAGGCTCTTCAGAAAGAACCAAGTCTCTGCTTAGAGTCTCTTCGCCCCAGCAAACGTCGCCAGCCAACTCCCTCCGTCCCTGAACCTGGTCCATCTCATGCACGAAGTAAGAAAATAAGACCTAATGTACTTGCAAAGTGTTAATCGATGTACTTCATGTTCGTCAACTTAAGCACTTCAATCCAGTGTCTGCTTTCATCGTCGGTGTGCGTGTGTGTGTGTGTGTCATATGCGACGACCTTGCACCTAAACTTTGGTCACAAATAACTGAGGGTCATTCAGGCTGGGAGCATATTTCTGCTCCCTGGCGATGAGCAGGCCCATCCTTTCTGAAAATTGGTTAACATTTCAGTGAATGGCACTTAAAGATATTGTCCTCTACTAGTTATTTCCAGGAGTCTATCTGACAAACAGTTCGTCACTTTGCAGGTGAAAGTGAATCAGAAACTAGCTTGGACACATCAACATCCCGACAGTGCCTGGCAGTTCCAAATTCTTCTGTAAGTTTGATGTCATATCTGTTATTATCACAAATTATCGCACACTTTAAAGTAACTTTAATTGTCTGTAATTAAGGCCTGCTGTCATGCCTTCTCGTTGGCAACTCTTATGCTTTAGTGGACATAAAAAAGCCCAAAATTCTCTATTAGGCCTTGCGATATCTGACCTCAGAAAATCCACTAGCTCGTTCACGATTCGAGTGAG